GACGACAGTCTCTCCGTCGATGCCAACCAACCCATCCACTTCACACCCTTTGAGCTCCCCTTCCTTAACGCCAACTACAGCCAAAAGGGTCTCCTTTTTGCAAAACCACCACCGGAAAATCAAGATTTTTCCGTAACCACTTATTTGGATGAACTCCGGCKATCTCTCTCCGCCACCCTCACTCAATTTTACCCTCTCGCAGCCCGTTTAGCCACTCGAAAAGAAAAAAACCCACCTTCCTATGTCATCTACATAGACCCTGAAAACAGCCCCGGCGTCAAGTTCGTTTATGCGACGGTGGACCTAAATATCTCCGACATCATAATGTCTACCCACGTCCCTTCAGTTGTCCATTCCTTCTTTGACCTTAATAATGTCATCAACCATGATGGTCATACATTACCTTTGTTATCCATTCAGGTGACTGAACTTAACGACGGGATCTTCATCGGCGGCTCTATCAACCACCTTATCGCCGACGGAACATCTTTCTGGCATTTCATGGCTGCTTGGAGTGAAACTTTCAGATCCAAAGAGCAAAAACGTTGTTTCAGACGATCGGCCATCCAAGGATACAAACCCATTATAAAGCTTCCATTTACGCACCTCGATCAATTCATTGAACGATTCGAACGTCCACAGTTTAAAGAGAGATTCTTCCATTTCTCATCAGCCACCGTCTCTAGACTCAAAGAAAAAGCAAACGCAGAATGCAATACCCATAAAATCTCAAGTTTACAGGCGGTGACGGCACTTTTGTGGAGATGCGTAACACGAGTCCGACGCCAATCCAGCGACAGTGAAACCATTTGTAAACTTGTTATTAACAACCGGCGTCGGCTGAACCCACCTCTATCCGACGATTATTTTGGTAACCCGATTCAAACAGTGAGGGGAACAGCAAGGGTGGAGGATCTGATGGCTCACGGTCTCGGGTGGGCGGCCCTCCAGTTACAACAAGCAGTTGCGAACCATGACAATACGGCGGTGGAAAAGTCGGTGGAGTCTTGGTGTAAGAAACCAGTGATATATAAATTGAGTGAGTTGTTCCATTCAAACGTTGTACACATTGGGAGCTCGCCAAGGTTTGATATGTTCGGGTGTGAATTTGGGCTGGGGAAAGCAGTGGCGGCGAGAAGCGGTGGCGCAAACAAGGCCGATGGGAAAATGACGATGTATCCAGGTAGGAATGGTGGGGGAAGTATGGAAGTTGAAGCTTGCCTTTTGCCGGAATCTATGAAGGATCTTGAAGATGACGAGGAATTCGTAAATGCCGTAAGTGACCATAATTAGTTAACCCTGAAATGCATGATTTATGTAAAAGGAGTTAAATCCTAAAACATAGATTTCCTACTGTTTGCTTTTTTTCCTTCAATCAATTAAGATTTACGAAAATAATGAGAGTTTATGGTTGGAAAAAATGAAGATTATCGCAATGAATTATTAAGAACATACGAATAAGAATACATGTACTCGTCTCCATTAGTTAGGCTTAAGTATGAAACGTAGATCCGAAATTATGGCTTTCCTCAACGCAAAATTCTTGATGTCCTTCCAATGGGGAGAGAATGAACGTATTGATTTTGGTGTGTGGGAACCATAACCCTAGTCGTCTTTTTATATAGAGTTGTAATTAGGGTTCCCATTAAACCCTAATTATAACCTAATGGGCTTCCTCTCATTAAGTCCATACCAAATTGGGTTCTAATGGGCTCTCTTTAATTAATCACATAATTAGCTCATTACTTAAATAGCGTAATATATATAATAATATGTAAGCCCATAATTATTATTGGATTTATAAATAAATCCCAACAATCTCCCACTTGGGCTACATGTTATTCTTGATCAATTATATTTAAATTTC